TGCATAGGCTGCAAAGGATGCTCTTGGCAGGAGTCACTTAATTAGTTTTTTACAGTTAATTGAATTGCAATGGTAGCTCGAAAGAATGCAGCACTCCATCTTTTCGCCCCCTCTCTTTCCCACCGATCTGTATGCCTCTCTGTCTCTCTGACTGAATATTGACCAACTTTCCATACTCTCCTATAGTTTCTCTTGTTCGCAACCACTTGCCTGCCATAATTTGTTGATTAGTTTTTTGTTTTGGCAGCTTTATTGCATTTTGTCCAAAGGCTTTTAGCCCCCGCACTGCCACAAAATGTTTTGTGGCCAACTGTACTTATCTCAGTACAGCTGTCTGTCTCTATCTATTTATCCACATCTGTCTCTTTCGCTCATACACTTTTCGGCCTTGTTTCGGTGGCTTTTTGTATAAAATTAATCATATTTATTATCGAACGAATGCTTTAAGCCTCAGCAATTTGTGGCCAGGATTAAAATGTTGTTAGCCAGCATTTTCATTACGGCTGCAGCATATATACATACGTATGTATGTATATACATACGCACCCTATATAAATATATATGGTAGGTCGGCGAATCCACGTCTCTTTTTATTTCTGCCCAGCTGATCCCTGCTTGTAAGCGCATTAATGTTGCGTAATTTTTGTTGATTGCTTTGCTGATTCAGCGTTAATTTTTCAGTTAACTTCGTTGCGCATGGTTTTCCTATTTCCCATTTCCCTTATCCGAAGTTCTGTTTTGGGGTTTTCCGCTGGCCAGAATAGTGGTAGTTGTTGGGGGCGAAACTAGTGGATAATTTAGTTGATTGCCTAAAATGAGGTGGCAGAGTGTTTTGGAATCGACTGTGTTTTCCATTTTAATTTAATTTCTAGCAATTAAGCACTGCATAGCATATATCAATTTGACTTTTCAGCTAATAACTTAATTTAAAAACATTATTATTAGAAAAGAATAAACACTATTTTCTTTAAAAGACTGATAATATTTCATTTTATCTATGATCTAGGTATCTATAAACTATTTAGTTGTTCGGAGCATCATTTAATTTGATAACCAAATGAAGTCGCTCGGCAAATGGCCATCGGTCCATTAACCATCAAATGTTATATACCAGAGCACATTAAGTAATTTCTCCTTAATGTCAGCCCCATCTTCTCGACCCCGATTCTACCTTTTTTTTGTCTTTCTCCCTGTCCACTTTCTTTCATGAATCATAGCCTCTTTTTTTTAGGGGAATGGGCAAACCATCGATTAACTACATCAGGCCATAACAAATGAGTTTTCAATTGTCATCTTGGGCCATTAAACGCACTCCTACACAATTTCCCTGACCATTTTGCAGCTCGCACTCAATTAGCTGAATAAAAAAATCGAAATGAAATGAGATGAGATGAAGTGAATTGAAACGAGAGGAAGAGGAAAAGGCAGAAGGACCTGCTGCAAATCGACGAATAATGAACCGCACAAGAGAGACATTTAAAAGAAGCAGGAGTGACCTAAATTATTTGGGGGCGACGAGATGAAAAAGGGGAAATGAAGAAAGGCGACAGAGGGAATCAAACATTATGCAAGGAAAATGCAAAACGAATCGCATCACAGTGAGGCTAACTTGAGTAATTTCATTTCGGGGCCAAAAGTTGTATAATTGAAGAGCTCCTGCAGGAGATAGCTATGCCAAATCAATTAGGTAGGTGGCATTGGGAGGGGACTTGGGTGGTCAAATGCAGTTTCCGATAAAAGTGCAAAAATTGAAATTGAAAATGTCATTGCAAGGATGATAAACTGTTGGAAGCCAAGGGGAACTTCTTCAGATTCTGCTTCCCAATGATGGCGATGAGTATCCTGATGATGATTGGCGTTTCAAGAGAGGCAATAAATACTGATGTACCACATTTATTTTAAATTCCCATATTTTAAGAATTAACAAAAGTTATTTGATATTTTAGACTTATAAAATGAAGCAAAGACAGCTTACAACAGAGAAAAGATTAAACAACAATTTGTTTACATTCTAATGGAATTGATTTTGTTTTTTATTAGTTTTCAAAAAAAAACATTGAAAAATATACAACAAATTTGAGAAATACATGTTTTAGTATTTATCAAATTTGTGGCTTAAAATTTTTGTACATTTTTTTTTTTGCTTGATATTTGTATTTATAAAGCGTTTTGTTTTCCTATTATATTTTTATATAATGTAAATTATTGAATAAACTTGAGACAATTACAATTGGACTCTTTATATTTTTGGATATGTTTTATCGTTTTCCGAAGTACGAAATTATCTACATTTATTGTTTGCTCCCATATTTCCAACTGTTCTGACGCTAAGGACAATTTTGATGATGATGTCGATGAGCATTCGCTGGCACTCGAATCCAGTTGAGTTGAGTTGAGTTTTAGGTCGGGGCTTCCCCTCCTCTGGCCAGCATCCTGGGGCATCCTGCCGCACGCAAATGTAATTAAAAGTGCTTTCAGCAGCATCAATTAGAAAGTACAGTGAGCACACACACACACACACAAGCATACGGTTAAATAAAAAAGAGAGGGCACACATAGACACGCGTGCGGGAAAGTTGTCTTGGAAAAATTGTGTTGCATACTTGCAGGCACTTTTCACAAAATTAATTTCAATTTGCATGCGTTTGTGTGTGTGTGCGTGTGTGAATGTAAGTGAGTGAGTGAGTGAGTGCTGTCAAAGCATCCGATTTACCTGCAAGAGGAAGGAAGACAGACAGAGAGAAAGAGAGGCAGCGTGAGTGACAGAGACGTAGATGAAATGAATAAAGGTTTTTTGGTTTTTACTGGCAGCAAAAAGTTTTGGCCAAAAAGTTTCAAGTTTCAGTCTTCGCTTTTTTCGATCTGCATTCGTGTGGGTGTGTTTGTGTTTGTGTGTGTGTGTGTGCAAGTGGAATTAAATGCACACATATGCCTGAGCACACACACACTCTTAGGCACGTTTCGGGCTTCAAGCGGAAAAGTAGGGAAAGCAAAAAAGCGGGGAGAAAGCAGGCCAGGCTAGGCCAACAAAGTTTTAGGCCCCCTCTCTGGAAAAGCCCACCCCGCCTCTGTGTGCTGAGTCATCATCAACAAAACAGCAACAACAAGGCTTTTTGACACTCGAAATTGAGCCACAAACAAACGAGAAGCTAGAAAAAAAAGGAGCACGAACACAGACAGAAACACACGGGAGGACAACAAAAAAAAAGAGGAAAATCATGGAAAAAAGTTAAATGGCAAAAAGCGAAAATGCACAAAAGACACCAGCGAACGTAGAAAACTCATAAATAATAGCCCTGACTCTGTGTCTGTTTCTGTGTGTGTGTCCGTTTCTGTGTGTGTGTCCGTGTCTGTGTGTGTGTGTGTGTGTGTGTGTGTGTGAGTGTTAGCCAGTGGCTTCCAAAAAAGCGAAGATGGCCGCGGGTGTGAAAGAGAAGAAAAGCGATTCCATTTCCCAACTTTGACTTACTTCAAGCGACACGCTACTTAGTTACCCCCTCGCAGACCCACTCCCCGCCAACCATGACATTCCACCCACCCCCCCAAACACACACACATACACTCATACACGCGCCCCATCGAGATCCCAAAAACCCTGGTTTGTGGCTATTTTTCACAATTTGTTTTTGTTTTCATTGCTGCTTTTTCATCTGCACTTGCTACGTGTTCGGTTGCCACTGCTCTGGGTTAGCCTGGACCCCCCTTCGACCTCCACTCCCCTCCTGCAACGTCCCAACCCCCTTTGCAACCCACCCATGCTCATTTCTTCTGCTTGGCTGTTTGGTCCGCAAATTTAACATGCAAAGCATAATTTGAATGCCCCGAACTCTGCTCACAACTTGGCTGCGACTGACGAACAGTGCGGTTCATAATTGACGGACCATAAAACGATCAAAAATTACAGTTACCAAAGAAATGCTCTCACGAATTTTTAATTTTCAAAATGCATTCTGGAAATCTGTTGAATTTTTTTTTTTTTAAAGTCTATTTTGGGACACCCAAAATGTGTAATTTTAAACAATGGAATTTTCAGAAGTACGCCATTATTTATAGGACTTTATAGACTCAAGAACACTTTTTTCTGTATGATTTGATACTTTTTAAATAAATTTTTTTTAAAATATAAATTAAAAAAAAATATTACTTTATAAATACAAATTATAATAAAATACGTTCAACAACTTTGCCTATATTTTAGATAACTCGCGTTCTAAGCATACTATACTCACGAAACGCACTGTAATTATCCCGTCGATCAGGTCATTTGTTATTCCTTCGTCTGTCGCCGACTGACGAAGAACCAAAGAATACAAATGAAAAAGAGGAAAAAGAGGAAAAGGGACACCAAACAGGAGAAAAATACAAAAAAAAAACTTTTTGCGTTTTATTTTGCATTAAAATTCTATTTGTCTCCAACTCGCATTAAGCATAACAGACGACGGAATGGGGACTTTTTTTACGTGTGTTATTATAACGCAATTTTCTTTTGTTTGTTTCGTTGCCGCTTTTCCCTACGCTTTCCCGCATTTCCTTCTCACACACTTGCTCCTGAGCTTTTCCAACTTTGACCGCTCTCGAGTGTTCCGCTCGGGCGAAATTAAAATATCATAAATTTGAGTTAATTACGGTCGAGTAAACATTAACATAATTGTGTTTCTGTCGTCTACGGTCGGCACTTCTCCCACTTTGACCATTATAAGTAGCCCCTGAAGTACTTATTGGCCGGTTTGCTTTCCTCTCTGCTTTCTACTTTCTACTTTTGGCCAGGCCACGCCCCCTCCGCTTGTGGGCGGGGGATGACTTCAAGTTTTTAAATCGAAAGTTGGAATTGACTGCGGTTTTGATATCTTACATTTTCCTTGGCATTCTTGAAGAAGCCGCATAAATAGGAGCTTTTCTCCTTGGTTAGATAAAGTAGTTAATACTTTTAACAAAGTTTTGTTTCCTTTATTTTTACTTGCAGTTCTTGCTAGTTATTAAAAAACAACAACACTTTAAAATATGTTTTACGATGCTAATCATTGCAATGAAAACGGTTTTTATTATGATCTTGTGTTTTACCATGTGGCTTGTATCTACAGGTTTTTGTTTAGTTTTTGTTGTATATATATTTTGAATTGCAATTAAAGTAAAGATTATTCTGAATCACACTGATTGCCTACTGAAACCTTATCGCCAGGCTGGTCCACATCCTTTGGAGGTTCTTCAGGGGTTGCCCCCTCCACATAGTCCACAATGTCGCCAGTGAAGTAGAGAACGGCCTTGGGAATAACCCTGACCCGCAAGAAGTGGCCAATTTTGTAGTCGGCTTGAAGGATCCGTTCGGCCTCAGCTGACTGCTCATCGTTATTTTCATAGTCTGATAAATCGGGTGGATTGAAGAAGTTGAAGAAGGAGTCTATCCAATCCTTCTTGACAACGGTGCGTTTGACGCCGAACTTGTCCTTTTCTTTTGCGTTGTATGTCATGACCGTGAGATCCATTGTGTCCTCCCAGTAAATGGTGCAGCCCTGGCAGAATTTCACCTCGGGTCCTTTAAAGGCGAACGGATCATTTTGGTCAATAGATGACCGCAAGAAGTACTTCTTCCTTAGGATCGAATTGGTAAAGAATTCATTGGGGCCGAAATGAAACTCCAAAGTGAACGCGTGCTGCAAAACAGTTGTTACATTACTAGTAATATAGAATACCAATGACAAGTCCTTACCCCAACGTCAAATGCAACTGACACATCGATTAAATGACGCAATGCTGGCTCATCTTGCGGCTGAATCATTTCGTTGATTAGTGTGTTGCGGAACACAGTTAGCCAGAAATCGGGAATGCCCTTTGCATCGGTCAATTCGCATTTGTAATCCTTCAATTTGCGACGGAATTCGACTCCAGCATGACCGGCCAATGGTTTCACATCCTTGAAGTTGGGCTTCTGCTCACCGGGCGGCTCCATCTTACCCTCGACTATGTCCCTTCGCTTGGCGAATAGCTCTTCGTACTTCTTGTGGTAGCGGTGCTCCAGATCGTACACCTCATCGAAGAACTCCTTCTCCAGTTTGATATTCTCCAATTGCATGTTCTTCAGAACAACAACTCTATTCTGAATCGGAGTTGGTAGCGCCTCCACCATTAACTGCACGTACTGACGCCACTCTTCAGGTCGCATGTCACCTAGTGCACTGCCACAGCCGATTTTGGTATCTACTTTATCTTTTGCCGGAGAACTCATTGTGAATAGAATTTTATTTTCTCAATTGACTAGGTCGTCTCAATTCAAAAATCGTTGCTTGACTGATATTTCACACTGCCTGCTGTGCGAAGGTAAACAATTTGCTTTGAATGCGTACAAATTCAACGCCTACTTGGTTTTTATACCTTTGCAGAGGGTATTATTTTGATCAAAAGTTTGCAACGCAGTGAAGGAAACATTTCCGACCCTATAAAGAATATATATTCTTGATCAGGATCGCGTCCTGAGTTGATATAGCCATGTCCGTCTGTCCGTCTGTCCGTCTGTCCGTCTGTCTGTCCGTCTGTCTGTTTCTACGCAAACTAGTCTCTCAGTTTTAAAGCTATCGAGTTCAAACTTTGCACACACCCTTCTTTCCTTTGCACGCAGTATATATGTCGGAACGGCCGGGATCGGCCGACTATATCCTATAGCTGCCATATAACTGAACGATTGGAAATGCCATAACTTTGGTGTTTGTTAAGTTAGGAAGTTGGGATTTTTTATGAGTATTAAGAATGCATCATATGAATAATTTTGGAGTATATAATTTATAGAATATTCTGCAAGGGAATATCAACTTCGGCTCCGCCCAAAATTAGCTTTCCCTTTTTGTTCAAAATGTTTTAGACTCTTCTTATTGTTTAGTTTTCTATAGCATTAATTTCTGGTGTATATTTTCGTTTTAAAACCCTTTTTCCCTGTTTTAAGATTTTGGTTCGAAAGTGCAAATGGGGAACTCTCTTCAATCTAATTTCGAAACAGCTTTTTCCGCCCATTCCGGTGTCCTCATTTCCTGCTGCAATGCTGCTGCTACTGCTGCATACTTTTCGGCGCTGATCGAAACTCCAATTACTTGGCAAGTTTATGAGCTCCATATGCGAGTACACCGTTTGACTTTCCGCCCAGCAAGTTAATCAATGGCTTTCCACTATTTTGCCAGCCCCCTGCCACCCCTTGCCCCCGATTAAGCATGTTTTTCCGCTCCTTTTGGCCGGGCAACAAGCAAAAACCTGTCGCACTCACACAAAACCACGCCCCTTTTGAGGGGAGGCGAACGGGACAAACGCACACACACACACACACACTCATGCGTGCATTTGATTACAATTTGTCGCCCTTTCAGCTTGTTCAGCAAACAGTGCGGATGAAAAGCGGAGGTTTTCCAACGGGGGCGGGGGGCGTGGGGGTGGTTTTCCACCATGATTGCCTTTCACCAGAGCGCGAGAAAAGAGGAAGTGAAACGACAGCAGCAGACGGAAGCTGGGGCGGATTTGGTCGGTGGGCGTGGCCACAAGTGGCAGCGTTTTGGATGTTGCACTCGGTCATCCGCCACTCCCCCTCTCCGCCCCCTCCAACACCTACCCATTAACACCGCTGTGCAGCTGCAATTTCCCTTTGTCGCCTGTCACTTTGGCGGCTTCTGATTTTCCCCATCTCCGCACTACTTTCTTCGATGATTATGGCCGTGAGTCCAATCTCAGGAGGCCCACGTCATTGGTTTTATGCATATTTAGCCGCAAAATTGTCTGCTCATCATGGGATGGAAATTGTAACCACAATGGGCATCTTTATGCAACTTGTTTGCATGGTGACAGCTCAAGTGACTGAGTTTATTCCAAGAACCTTTCATAGTTTTAAGCTTTGTAATTAGTTTCGTAGCATTTTTCAGGCATATAAACATAAAATTGAGTAGCACCTTTATATAAATTAAAAAAAACTTCTTTATTTATTTAATTTCCAATTAAGATATAGTGAATTTTTAACCATTAGTTAGTCTCCTTTAATAAAAAAAGGGTATGTAGTAGGCCACCTTGCGCCCGATAAACTATCGATGGTTAATGTTAAGCTAACATTAAGCTTAACATAATCTTTAAGCAAGCCCTATGTTATTCATTCTTGGAATAATTCATTCTTGGAATAATTCATTCTTGGAATAATTCATTCTTGGAATAATTCATTCTTGGAATAATTGAATAAAGTGGACGTGTTTTGATAGAAAGTGCCTAGATTATTATATATACCGCTCCTCTCTGAAATGAACTATTTCATTATGCGATTTCGAATCTGTAAAGGTTTCTGTGGCATTTATTTTCTTTCCTGATATTTCCCCATTTAAAACAATCCCCATTTTTGATGTCATTAATGTCGTATTTCCGCACTGTGACAGCGTATGGCAGGATTAAGTTGGTTGAACTGCGTTTAAAGGCCTGCTGCTCCCGTCCATCCTCTTATATTTTGGCTTGGCCAAAAGAGGATATTCCGCATAATTGTCGCAGGACATGCACTCTATACATATACGGCTCTGCCACTTTTGGGGATACCTTTTTTTTTTAGCTCAACCCAAACGCCCAACCGTTGTAACAAATTTGTCGTTGTGTTTTTGTTTGCACATTGCGTTGCCATGGCTAGCGACATTATTATTGCCCCTTCCTCTCCCCCTGTGACCCCTGACCCCTTGTTTGGCATATGCCATTGTTGGTGTTAGTGTAAACAACGGCAGCAACAACAACAACAAGTGCAATCCCGACTCGGGCTAAAGCCAAACAAAATCTGCATAAACAAACACACACAGTGGTGCAAAAGGGCATTGGCCAGGCGTGTGTTGCTGTTTTTGGTTGAATTATTAGATTGCCTGGAAAAATTGCTGGCCAGCCTCTGTCACTGGCCTGTTTCCCCACCATATTTCCCCACCATTTTCCCCCTTTCATTTTTCGCCCCAGCTCAGCGGCGGCAAAACTGACAAACAAAAGCTGAGCTGAGCTGCGTTGGCGCCTTTTTGCCAACTTAATTACTTTTGAAATAGTTGAGCGCACACAAACACATCGCACATCGCACATTGCTCGACTGACAAGCGAAGGGCGAAGAAAATTGTGGAAAAAGGAAGCGGGGGCGTCGGAAAAGTCGGGGAAAAATGGAAAAGCCTTTGGGTATAATGCATATTTCAGCTGCTTCCTTGGCAACCGAAAGTCGGCTTTAATGAACTTTAGCAAGTATCCATTACTTGCCAGTATCCACTCAATGCACTTTTGGCCCTTCGTATGTGTATGTAGCATATTCCCAGGGTTTCCGATCAATAATTATTTTGTGGCAGAGCCTTATGTATTTATGAATGCATTAGGGCATCATTAAAACGAGTGCCCGACAATGGGGAAAGTTTATGTTTAATCACTTTGCAACATTTGCTATTTCGGCTCTCTATTTGTCTCTGGGGTAAATGCATTTCAACTTGGAAATCATTACAAGTGGGACACAGTTTATCGCATTAATTTGAAAGGCTTTCAAGGACACTGCATTTGCAAGGCATTACAATTATATTCCAAGCATATTCAATGTTGACACTACTATTCTGTAAATACACTGCTGTACATGCAGTAAGAAAGTGATAATCTTTTTGTAATTTATGTACAGTCTCCATTAAGTCCCCAACCAATTCGCGATTCTGAGGGATCATTTTCCAGGCAAGTGCCTGAATGAGTTGCTGAATCAATGAGTGCATTCGCTGTTGTATTCCGCGAATCGCCTGCATTTCGGACCAACGCACACCGAGAACAAAAGGGTGGAAAATGGTGGGAAAAGCGCGGAGTCTGCTCCACTTTGATTGTGCGCGCGAAAAAATTGAAACAAAACCGAGAGACTTAAGCCTCTGGATTTTAGCTAGCTGAAAGGAAAAGCACAGATCAGGGAAACTCCCATTGTTGCTGGTCATAATTGGAGAGTGGAAATCTCGGGCTGGCGAGCAACTCGCTTTGATTGCAATCAGTGTCGGCATTGTCTTTCAATTCTCCCCGAAACCCCCCCCCCCCCCCCCGCCCATCGCACATTAATCCCGCTCCCTATTCGCTGTGATTCCTCAATTGTCTCCGGTGATTATCCCTTTGGTGATTTCTTCAGTACAGTGCCAAGTGTCGTCGTACTGAGCGCGAAAATTCAGATTCGTTATTTTCTTTTCTTACATAAAATAGATCTTTTTAAGAGGCCCAGCACATTTGAATTAAAAAAAATATGTTTAATAGAAACAATGATTTCTTTTTATTTCCCTGCAAAGTGTATTATAATTTTGGTCAAACAGTGGATGTAATCATATCTGTCTGTTTGTATACGGTTTGCAAGTCCAATTTGATTTTTTCCGGATTTTGCCCGAAATATATTTTTAGCTGTGAATGCCACTTAATTGAAAATGTTGTAACAAATTCAACGATTTATGACATTCCAGCATAAGACCATTATTTCTAGGGGCCTTAATTAAAAAATCAAAAAAAAGATTTTGACCAAAATATATTTTCTAATAATTACCCTCGTGATTTTTTTCAAAAACATTTTTTTTTAGCTGTGAATGACACTTAATTGGAAATTTTATAACGTATTCAAATTCAAGTTTTATAAGGAAATCCAATCAAATTTTCAGTCAAGCAATAAAAATTCTTTCTTCGATCACCTTTGCTGAATCCAAATTAAAGAACTTATTGTTTCGACAAACAATCAATGATTAGAACAAAGCCATTTTTTTTAGCATTTTGTACTTAATTTGGCATTGTGTGGTCTCCCTGCACTTCGTTTCTATCCTTTGGCACTTTCGCCACAATGCCGTCAATCAATCAATGTATCAATTGATATCGTTATGCATAATTTGCCCGGACATTCATCATCGTTCCGGGCATTTCGCCGTTGGCCACATGGCTGGTCCTGTCATGTGGTAATGAAGCATTTAAGCAATCGCCTGAACTCAGCACTTGCCACGCCCCCGCACTCTCGCCCCCTAATGACGGCCATTAATTGTTCTTTGGCTCCCGGTTTCGCAGTATCCCAGTATTCCAGTACTCCAGTATCTGCCTGGCTCCCAAACGATGTGGCATCATTTTTTATCGCTTTGTCATGAACAGGGAAGGGGGGAGAGGGGGGGGGCTTAGAAATGTGGGCTGTGCCTGTACAATGTGGCGTATGATTAATGTGCCTGGCCATGTCTTTGTCTGCTGTTTGCTGCTGTCTTGTCTTTGGCTTTGTTGATGCCTCATTCTCATCCTCACACATCCACAGGCACACAAAAACA